GTCGTGCATGCCGTAGTCGTTAGACCATTGACCTCGCATCCCTACAAAGCCGGGACGGAGCACGCCGGGTTCTCACCGGACCAGGCTCTCACATCACCAAGCGCGAAGCGCCGTGAGGTATTCGGCGAGTCGCAAGAAGGGTGCGCTGCATCTTGCTAAGGGTGTTTGGTATCTTGTGCTTGCTTCCTTGCATACGGATGCGCAGCTGCGTATGGGTTAATGTATTTTCTGGTGCGTTCACTTCCTGAGACAGTTGTAAGCACTGTGTAACTGCCTCGAGGGTGCTTGACCATTGTAACACAACGTGGTGCGATCATCCCCATTGCGCGGAGTGAGGCTTCTCGACCCCGCACAACATAATCTACTCGACCACCATTATGGTTACCGCCAAAAAAAAAACAGAGGTAAAAAAAAAAAAACGGGGGGGGGAGTCGTCGATTGAGAAAAGGAGCAAGCGGTAGCACTACCGGTTTGGAACCAGGGCCTATGTCGGTGCTTGTATCACATCGCTGCCCGCATGCCGATTGTGACTTGCATGTGATCCAAAGCAGGACCCGAAACGTTGAAAGCGCCGACAAGCCAGTGGAACGGCCAAAAACTGTGTTTCCAATTAAGGCCGAGCGTCCGATTGAAAGAATGTACGCGAGTCAGCCCGTCGCTGATCATAAATAGTTCAGCACCACCATCTCGGACCAGCAAAAACAACAAGCACTGACGGGGCCGGGGGCAGTCCGTCGGTGATTCAAGAATTAACGCGTCAACGGTACACATGTTCGTCCATCCCCTCGGCTACCGTGCCAATTCCTATTACCTTGGGACGTAGACCGCTGACATTCAAAGTCACGCTACACTCCTCCCTTTTGCGTTAAACCACCAGCGTGGCGTCGAGGCAAGAATGGCCCCGAGAGGCGGCGGCTACTCACCCACAGACGCTCGATAAGCCAGCACCCGTCTTCCTTCACCAAGTCCAGGGAAACCGTGCTCCAGGCCGGATCTCCTTCTTTTCTCACGCGAACCTACCGATGCCGTTACACCAGGAAACGGGGGTCCCGCACTATCGGAGGAGGTGTAGACAACAATGGCCAACGGGTCCGAAGGAGTAGAAGCAGCCAAGAAGAATGGTAACATTTAGATCACTTCCCGCTCACGGTCTAAAACGAACGCCTGTCGTATCTAATGGAAACCCAAAGGATCCGCGAGTCGGCGGCGGGGTGGGCACCGAGTGACAGTCTTGGGCGCATTCCACGCAAGCGAGAGAGGTGATTTCGCCCACCTGCTGGTTAGCCCTGTCCGGCTCCGCGACATCTATCTCGGCGCCCCCCACCGGCGCCATCTCGTCCCAATCGCTCAAGACTCGATAGAAGGGCATGCTGTTCGGGGGGTTTCGCCGGTGGCCAGCGGGGGGNGGGGGGGGGGGGGGGGGGGGGGGGGGGGGGGGGGGGGGGGGGGAGGGATTGCGCGCGCAAACGACCAAGAGGACCAGGAGCGAGGGGGACCGACGAAGGGGAAGCAAAGCAAAACAGAGGTGAGGAATAGGGTGAAGGGAAGAGAACCCTGGTATCTTCTTGTACTGTACCACGTCTTCTGATGGGCGGAGCGAGTGTTTTGCGCGTCAGTCACGGCGCGGCTCTTTCGCGAGCCACGCGATAACAGAACAGAACAAGCTGCGTTTGTCTAATCTGGAAAACAACCACCAACAAGATAATATTCACGCAACCTTCCACCCCCATTTTTCCGCCGTTGTGCTCTCTTTGGTAGTCGCCCATTTGCTACGTTGTGCTCCTGCCCCCTCTTGTGTATACAGTTCGGTGCTAAACTACCGAAAATCGAACCTTGGATCATCGATGTAGGTGCGCATGCCCCCTGGCGTGAAGCCTGAGGCCGGGTTGGACGTGCTGGAGAACCGGATCGCGATCTCGCAGCCGAAGTTCGTGTACGGCACGTCGGTACGCCTCAGAGCCTGCTAGTCACGCCCGCGGTGGCGGCGGTGGGTCACGGATTTCGTCTGCCTCATTCGTCGACAGCAGTAGAAACATGGTGGGAGTCACCCCCCCGAGGAGTAAAAGTGTCGGGTCATCCGGATCCCACGACCAATTTCTTCAGACTCCGGTATCAAACCGGAAGGCTAGTCAGCCCGCTGAAATAATAGTTTGATTGCGGCTTCAAAAAGTTCAATCAAATCTCACGGAAGGATTTCGGGGTTGCTGCGGGTGGCGGTGACCTGCGGATGTACCTGCGCGCGGGCGACATGCCCACACTTAGACGTGTAGGAAACAAGCAAGCGGCAATCAATGCTGTGTCGTGTAGTGCTTGGACAAAGAGAGGACGTGCGGGGGGGGGGGGGGGGGGGG